AAAATAATTAATTAATTTACACAAAAAAAAAAAAAAAAAAAACAATTTATGATATGGCTGGGGCTCGGCGGGGATACGAACCCGGGCCTTCATGTACACGAGGAATAGCATCTACCACAACACCACCGGGCTTCATGAAGCGCGGCGAACTAATTGAGTATATGGTCTTAGCTGCCTTTAAAAGTGCAAAGTCATGTGGGTCTCCATATCAAGACCCACCATAGAACGATTTTTTTGAGGTCATGCAACATCTTGATATTCTATAGTCTTTGGTTATATCAAATTTCAAAGTTCTTCAAAGGTATAAAAATCAGAAAGACACAAGCCGACCAGCACCGAACACCGTTTGCCAAAGAGAGGTTGTCGTATTTTGGCACTCCTCTTTTGTGCGGCTGGGTGTGTGCAAAAAAATGCATTAGGCGCACTCTTTGTCTCATACGAAATACTCTTAATAGATGCTCGAACAATATCATATAGCTGAAAATATAGAAAATTAATAGAAAAATCGTCATAGCTTCGATGATGTTTAGCCTTTTTGTAGTTTGTTTGACATATAAGATGGCTGCAAGGGTATATAAGCTTCTTCTTGCCGAAGCTAGCTTCCTTTATTGTTATATAATAGATAATGGAAAAAAAATGATAACGTCGTTGCTTTTATACCACGACCATGATTTTTTGGAACATCGAGTTTTTTAACTACCTCTGAATGGAGTAAAAAATTCATAAAAATCGTTCAACTATGTATATCATATAGCTGCCATTGGAAAGATCGAAAAATCTATTTTCATTCATCAGCAAATCATGATTTTTGGAATATAGCGTTTCCTAACAAATCTTGAATTTCTAATTAAATTTCATTAAAATCGGAGGACTATATCATCTAGCTTTCATAGGAACAATCAGTAAAAAAATGGAAATTAAATAGATTGCATTTTGCTCGACATTTGTATTGACTGCAAGGGTAGGTATTCTTTGTTGATCATTAGTAATTGTCGGGTCATCCAGCCGCAGCAGATATCTAGGATCTCTTAATGCTAGCTCTTAGCTTATCTGCATAATTACCATCGCTCTCTCTCTCTCTCTTTATCTTTCTGTTCGCTCTCTCTCTCGTTGCTTGTTGGTTTATACTTTGGGTCAGCAATCGGCTGATCCGCGTCTCAATTTTAATTGTATTACTTCTTTTCGATCCCGCGGACCTTTTGTAACTCTTTTTTCGTCGAAAATAAAATCGCTGCTACAGAATTCGAAAACAAAATTTCTTCGTGCATAATAATTTCAACAGCTAATAAAAAAGCTTATTAGCTCAACATTTGGTGACCCCGACGTGATTTGTGCATAAAAGGGACTCAGTGCAAGTCACAAAAAAAAAAAAAAAAAAAATTAATTTATTTTACCAGGCTGCATATTTTGTTTTATCTGTGTTGCAGCTACATTGTGCGTTTACCTGCCATAAACAACACAAATATTTATAAATTGATTTGTGAAAATAATAACACTCTTGGTTACACGGACTTGTACATAAGGCGATATATAGACCAGCAGCGGACCAATTTTTCGCATTCTCCTTTGCGCTCATCTTCCCGCTGAAGCCGAATTTTGCCCGCTGAGTCTGCTGCATATCTCACTTTATGTTTGTTACAAAACAATAAAATGAATTGATTTATGCAAATAATACCACTCCTGGTTACACAAGCTTTACATAAGGAGGTATATAGACCAGAAGCGGACCGATTTTTCGCTGTTTCCCGTTACGCTTATCTTCCCGCTGAAGCCGAATTTTGCCCGCCGAATTTGCTGCATTTATTTTGTTGTTGTTGCTGCTTAACATGGCTTCAGAAAATTCGGTTAGCGTCACCGACAATCGCAATTCAAACAGGGTGACATTTTTGAAGCGCAAGGCAACTTCAATGTTTAATAGAGTGGAGCGGTTAATGGAATCCCTTTCAAGTTCGGCTTTGAATTCTTTTGACGATTCTGGCCTTCATGTAAGGTTAGAACTTATCGAGGAGCTTCAAAGGGCGTTTAAAAAGGTTCTCAACGAGCTGGAAGAATTGGATTTTGAGGAAATTGGAAATGACTTGGAGGAGAAATTTGATGATGTCGTCGTAATTCTGAAGTCGACGGTTCGATCGGAGATCACAAAGCGCTCCTCGCAACTGCTTCAGCACTCAACCTTTGCTGATGGCAATACGCCCGGTAATTTCGGCCATCAGCAGCGGGAAGCTCTGCGCCGAGCGATTCCGCTTCCCGTTCTTGAACTTCCGAAATTCGCTGGAGGTTATGCGAATTGGTCAGATTTCTATTCTATGTTTACTACCATCATAGATAGTCATCCTGACCTGACCAACATAGAAAAGCTCCAGCATCTACGTTCATGCCTGAGGGATTCTGCGTTGGAAACCATCCGCTCGCTGGAAATTTCGGATGGCAATTATTCTGTAGCATTGGACTTATTGCAAAACAGATTTGATAACCGTCGTTTGGGTTTTCAGGCACACATTACTGAGATCCTGGGGCTTAAGGCAGTGCAGAGTGGTTCCGTCTCGATGCTTCGTGAGCTGTGCGACAAATTTAACGCTCATATTCGTGCTTTAAAGGGATTGGGCACGACAGAACAAATCGCGGGATGCATCATCGTCCAAGTACTGCTTCAAAAACTAGATCCTGCGAGCCAGGCAAAATGGGAGGAGCGGTTAGAGGATCCAGCAGTCATCAATATAATTCCGACGTGGGAATCCATGGCATCATTTTTGGAGCAGCGATGCAGAACATTGGAGACAATGGATTTCGCCATGGCAAGCTATGCGTCTGGCAATGAGGTGGGAAATAACCGAACGTCTAATTCTCGCAGATCTGCTTTTGTTGCCACAAATAGTAACCCTTGGTTTTGTTCGTTCTATAATGCTTCTGGTCACTCCATCCATTATTGTCAAGATTTTAAAGCCCTGCCCCCTGCTAATCGGCTTCAAGAAGTAAAGAGGCTCTCTCTTTGCATAAACTGCCTTAAGATAGGGCATCATTTGAGGCAGTGCAATTCCAGCAATTGTCGGGCATGCGGAGCTAAACACCACACCCTCCTTCACTTGGGAAATTTATCCTCAGCTTCTCCTCAGGCAGGACCGCAGCTTCCAGAAGCTATTGCCGCTGTCGCATCCAATACTGTCGTTGAACCCTCTGCCGTGCCTTCCTCATCCACTGCTCTTATTGCTCAGGATTTCAGTACTGACATTGTGCTCCTAGCCACTGCCACCGTTCTCATTAAAAACCGGTCTGGAGTTTTCGTTCCATGTCGAGCCCTTCTTGACTCCGGCTCTCAGCTGCATCTAATAACATCTCGCTTCGCAGATCAGCTTCAAACAAAGAAGATAAAGACTTCGGCTTCTGTTACTGGAATAGGTGATTCCAGCTTTGTTACAAATGGTCACGCAGTTAATATTACGATGCAGTCCCGAACGTCTGAGTACACGGTGAACATAACCGCAGTTATTGCTCCCAATATAACTGAGCGACAGCCTAGTTTCAATGTGGACATCGGCAGCTGGAAAATACCGCAAAACATACAATTAGCTGACCCGACGTTTTATGTCCCTCAGCGTGTGGATCTTTTGATTGGAGCCAGTTTGTTTTACGAGCTGTTGTGCGTTGGGCAAATTAAGCTCCCACCTGGTTTACCGCTTATACAAAAAACTCGCCTGGGCTGGGTTGTTTCCGGAGGATATGGCGTCTCCAATGGCTCATCGTTAATCTCGACCATTGCTTTGCCTACCATTAATAAGGATAATAGCTTGGATCGACTTGATGATCTTCTTCGTCGATTTTGGGAGGTGGAAAGCTGCGTGGAGCCAATTGCACATGCTACTAAGGAAGAACTGGACTGTGAGGCGCACTTTACAAAGCATTTCATTCGCTCTTCTGCTGGAGACTATTCTGTTCGTTTGCCTGCCAAGCTCAACCTGGAATTATTGGTCTGAATTTCAGAAAATCCCGCTGATCTGGATGTGCTAACGCCAGCCCACTTTCTGAATGGTGGTCCACCATCCTCATTCATCGAGCCGGATGTGACCGCCCTTAACTTCAATCGGTTGGATGGATGGCAACGTGTGGCCTATTTGCAGCAAGTCTTCTGGACCTGATGGAAGGAAGAATATCTGACGCTACTGCAGCAGCGCTCCAAATCGCGCACCCCGAAGCCTGGCCTGGTTGTAGGTGACGTGGTGCTGGTCAAGGATGAGAACTTGCCTCCGATGAAGGGGCCCCTAGCGAGAGTCGTTGAGCTTCTGTGTGGTGGAGATGGAGTTGCTCGTGTTGCAGTCCTCAAGACAGCATCAGAAGTGACAAAACGAGCAGTTAATAAGCTGTGTCTGCTGCCCCTTAAGGATGCTGTTGAAAGCCAGACTTCCAACGGGGGAGTATGTCGGGTCATCCAGCCGCAGCAGATATTTAGGATCTCTTAATGCTAGCTCTTAGCTTATCTGCATAATTACCATCGCTCTCGCTCTCTCTTTATCTTTCTAATTGCTCTCTCTCGTTGCTTGTCGGCTTCTACTTTGGGTCAGCAATCGGCTGATCCGCGTCTCAACTTTAATTGTATTACTTCTTTCCCGCGGACCTTTTGTAACTCTTTTTCGTCGAAAATAAAATCGCTGCTACAGAATTCGAAAACAAAATTTCTTCGTGCATAATTATTTCAACAGCTAATAAAAAAGCTTATTAGCTCAACAGTAATGTTAGTAATTTAGCTTAAAAGACATAAAAAAGTTTTCAAAAAAAAAAAAAAATTAACAGTTAATATTATATAATACAAAAAATTATTGAAAAAGGTCGTTTTTCCCGGACGAAGTCCATGTGTCCCTTTCATAAAAGTAGTAAATAAATATTTTTAAGAAGATAACCTCTTTTATCAATCAAATCAGCAATGTTATCATTATGTCAAATTTTTTAAATTCGCCGGAATATTTACCATCATTTTACGATTAAATTACATACTTTCCAAATTTCAGATTCGGAAACTTATTTTGGAGATGATCCACAGATTGCCAATAACAGAAAGCTTAAGGCAACATGTAAAGTCAATAATAACTATGATGCTTAAAATACTAAAAACGGATAATGAAGAAAATGTTCTTGTAAGTCTTCGCATTATAATTGAGCTGCACAAACACTTTCGTCCATCGTTTAACCCCGAAGTAAGTAACTTTAAATAAATAAAGTTTAGTGGTTTTCATTAATTAAGATTTAACGTACACCAGAAATAAAAACTGTCGTATAAAAAAATTAAATGCGTGCAAAATTTCGGAGCAAAAACAAATAATTTTTTTTTTTGCTCGGGGAGTTTGTTTTATTACTTTACTAGCACGAGCCCTACAGCTTCTTCTGCCGATATGAGGTTTTAAAATGTCAACATAGATCGGCTATACCATATACCTTGCGCTTGCCTTTGTGTTTTTTTTATACGCTTGCAGAGCAAAAGGTTAATTTAATTTTAGTCAGAAGTTTGCAACACAGTGAAGGAGTTACTTCAGACCCCAATATGGATATTCTTGATCAGCATCACGATTTTTTTTTTTTTTTATTAATTTTCCATTTTTTTCGACTATTGTTCGCATGGCACCTATATGATAGAGATATCCGATTGATTTGATAAAATTTAGTCCGAAATTTGATAGTAGTTAGAAAACGCCATCTGGAAGAAATCAAGTCGATCTGATCAAAAACAACGGCGTGAGAATTTTTTATTTCATTCTCCCCTATGGGAGCTATCCGATAGAGTCGGCCGATCCGTCCCGTTCCGACTTATATACTGCATGCAAAAACTCGTCACGGCCATTGTTACACCCTTTTGGAGCGCGTCTGCCTATACAACTGTTACTCAAACCTTACCCAATGCAATAACCTGTTAAAAAGTAATGGAAAATTCTTGGTACCAGAACTATGTGATGAAACTATAAGTTTAATAGACTAAAGCTTTGGTTGCAAGTGTATATAAGATTCGGTTCGCTAGAGCTACTCTTTTTTTTAATTTTGAACTAAAATGGTAATAAATGTTTATGTTTCTTCTAGATTCAACTTTTCTTGGGATATGTAAAGGATATTTATACCAATCTTCCCAATCATCTTGCTGCTATTTTCGAAACGTCAAGCGATATTTGGGTATGCGATTTGAAGGACTTAAATTTTGAAGTGCTTTTATCCCAAGCATATTCCGTAAAAACAATACATGTCGAAAAGCAACTTGACTCTAATTCTCAACAGCAACTCGTAAGTATGTTTGGATAAATACGTAAACCCTACAATATCTGTTTCACACTCGTAACTCATAAATCTAGAATATTCGTAAATACGCAGAGTAAGAGGTCTTATGAAAATTGCTGTTCTAATTATTACGCTCATAAGTCGCGAAACTATGTGCATGCTATATAGTTAGTGTGCACATCGCGAAAAGTTTTGATGGATAAAATATGATTATTATTAAATTTTTTGGATTCTGGTATTACGATTTTCTTATTTTTTTCTTAAAACTTTAATCCTTGTGTGTGTGCTTATGAAAAATAATTGTTGCAATTATTGCAGCAAGCACATACAATGCGTAACATGTAATATTGCACAAAAATTTTTTGAAAGGGTAAAAATATGGGAGCGAGTCCTAAAGGGCAGCTTTTGGTAAAAACCAAAAATTACGAAACCATAAATACTCATTGTCATATAACAGTCCTTTTTAAACCCTATGCACAGTATATGGGTTAAACAACACACTCTGTTATTGTTTATTTCGCACTTACGGGAAAACACCCTCTCACTCGCACTCATTGTAGTGCGCAATAGGGGGAAGAAAAAGCCGACGGGACTACCTTGTATAATTGTACCATGCCTTTGCCCAAGTTCTCCGCCGGAGAACTGTGCCTGTGGCGGTTAATCTTCCGTAGCGCCCAAAGAAAAAGTTGTTTTGCGGTGAACATCATAGGGCGTTAACGGATCATTTAAAAAAAAAAACGTGATATGCGTTGTAAAGATAATGAATTTCCCGAGGTAATCAGGAAGAGTTTTTTTAAATTTATTTTTTGTCTATTTTTGGGAGCACTTGAAAGTGAAAAGTGCGATTTTAGCTTAAAAAATCGCTGTTAATTTATTTTTTAAAAATGGAAAAAAAATCAAAATTAAAAAAAACTCTTCCTGATTACCTTCGTATTTATATTAAGAATTTGTGTTAAAAATTTAAAAAGGATCGGTTCAGTAGATTTTGAGTTCTGATGTTCACCGACTTTCAAAATAACGTCTTCGGCAAAATCGATTCAAAGTATTTTTATACGTGAAAATACGTCCAAATACGGTTGTTTAAAACGCTGTAACTCCGTTAGTTTGACTTTAATTGACTCAAAATTTGTACACAATGTTCTCGACATATTAATCATTCAGAAAAAAATAAAAAAAAAAATGTAAAAAAAATTTTTTAAAACCTTACCCCCCCTAATCAACCTATGCTCGGAAAAGCAGTGTTCTTTGGAAATTTTCTGAACGAGTCGAGTAGATAAATGTAAAGTCTTTAACATTTTTTATTTATTAACGAAGAAGTACTGCTTCGATTGGTAAAAACGACTCCTTATTTTTGACCATCGTCTTTTAATCCTGAGGTGGAAGGTGCGGGTTCTACCGACGCAGCATGTACAGAATTTTTTTGGCTCCTTGAATGTTGAAGAATAGAGTGAGGCCAAAATCATCCACGTCCAACGGAAACTATTGGACCTTGGACTGGCGTAGAAGTCAAGGCAGGTTCTCACCCCTTGTAGGGCCGAAAAATGGCACTTAAAAAAAATTTTTTTTGAGAAATGATGAAAATTGCGAAAGTTATTAGCTTTTGAAAAAAGTTTCGATTTTCGCGCTTTTTTTCTCACTAATTATTTTCTTAATTAAACAGTTTTTAATATTTTTGGATAATCCTAGTTCATTAGTTAAAGGAAACAATTAGAAACATTTAAAAAAAAAATTGATGACGACTGGTTAACCCCAACGCCTTCAATTACTTCCGTAAGGTCCGAAAACGTGGTTCCGAGACAAACGCGTTTAAAGTTTTGGCTTCAAATGGCCGGTGCTCGACATGTGCTCCATGTAAAAGCCTGTTACTCTAGTAATTTTTTAAATTTTGATCTGAAATTTGTTGAGCACATTCTTAAAACATATATCTATACGAAAAGCCAAAAAAAATCGATTTTATTTTCGACACAAGGTGAGAACATGCCTTAAGTCTAATAAAGTGCCCGGTGCCAGCAGGATCAAAATCGCAAAGTCGAAACGACGAGGCTACAACGCTAAGTTCTAAAAGGTACCAGGTCAGGTGTAGGGGGAGGGCTTCGAGCAACAGAGGATTTTGAGGAGTTCTGGCTTGGATGGAGTTGTGTGCAGAAGCTAACTACGTCGATTGAATCGAAAGTTCGAGTCGACGAAAACCAGGCAAAATTTTGGGTCCGGAGTATATTAGAGTGCAAAGGGTATCCAGCAGCGAAATCATAAAGGCTTGGCTGAATTTTTGACCTCTTCGTTCTCGGTGGAGATGTTTCTGCAGACCACAGGCGCTACATATTTGTTCCTATACCCTTGCAGAGGGTATAATAATTTCAGTCAGAAGTTTGCAACACAGTGAAGGAGACCGCTCAGACCCCTAAAAGTATATATTTTATTGATCAACATCACCATCTGAATTAAACTAGACATGTATGTCTAAAACGGCGTGATAATTTTTTTTCCTGTTATTTATATAGCCGCCCGATCAGTTCCATTTCGACTTATAATCTGACTTCAATAACTACAACAACACAACGCTCTATATACCAAAAATCGTGCTTGTCTGATAAAAAACAACGGTGTTATTATTTTAGTTCCGTTATTTCTATATAGATTTTTCGATCTTTCCTATGGCAGAATTATCCGATTTATTTTATGATAGAGTTATCCGATTTTGATAAAATTTAATCCTAAATTCACTAGTAGTAAGAAAACGAAATCTGGAAGAATTCAAGTCGATCTGATCAAAAACTACGGCGTGAGAATTTTTTATTTTTTTTCTCTCGTATGGGAGCTATCCGATATAGTCGGCCGATGTCGTGCAATAACTACATAACTTTTGGTAAAGTTTCAGCAAGATAGCTTCAAAACTGAGAGGCTAGTTTGCGTAGAAACGGACGGTGCAGTTCTGACTGTCACTTGGAGAATTGTTTCACTCAAGCAATCGTGTGTATAGGAAAGGAAAAGGGATATTCCTAAGTTTCCTTTTCTTTCTCACTCCTATAATACGATTTGGTTGCTTGCAACCGACGGTTACACTTCCTTTTCTCCTTTTGTATTGTCATTCTCCGTTAGAAACAATAAAATGGGTTTCGGTGAAAAACACGGCTGAGGGGCGCAGCGACTTATTTTACTCTTTTGATGTTAAAGTTCTTCAAATATTAAATATAATCGTAAACTTATATATGTATTATATAAATATTTAGTATGTATATAATAGTATTTAAATTATTGAACCAAGGCAACCATGACATATAAGTTGTGGCCAGACATGACCAGTAGTTATGGCCTGACATGACCAGTAGGGGAAGTATTCTCCTGAATATTACCTAATGAGCGTATCTGCATCCTTGTGGTCCTTGCTCCCTTCGTCCTTCCTTCTATGTCTTGAATTTTTGTGGTATGAGTTTTAACTAAACAATATGAGCTTTAACTTGCTGCTTTGGGGGTACAAATAGAAGTGATCTTATAATATAATTAGCGTGGCTTGTTGACTGCATAAGCTGGCAGAGCGGTTGCCGCAATCCGATGCTGACAACAGCGGTTCTGGGCCAAAGTGTTGCCATACTCCAGGTGCTAGCGTTGTATTTCCGTTTGTGGGTTGGGGTATGGTTGAGACAGCTAGCGATCGGTCAGTGCCCCTCCATTGTCGCGCTGCTGATAGCAGCGCTTCCGGATATTTGGTCCAGGGTTGCCAGATGAGCTGGTCGAAAAATCCGTAAAATGGTGTTGAAAGCCGAAAAAATTCCGTAAAAATCAGTATTACCATAAGTGCGCTTGAGAGTGAAAGAGAGACATATAGATACTTATGCGTTGGTCGCAGACCATGCCTACATACATATGTATGTATATGCTTTTGGCGCCCAATTTGAATATGTAAAATAACACTGTGCGACAAAAAAATGTTTAAGTTGATTTTTTCTTATTTTTCACTTCTACTAATCAAAATAAGAATACAAGTTTGTGGATTTGTTAATATCAATAGCCAATCAGCTTTTAAGCACACTCAAATGTCCCAAAAACGCGCGTTTTTGCATATTTCACAGCCTTATAATCACATATTGGGAAAATATTTTTTCACCGCTATAAGCGTTCATGCAAGTTCAATATCTATTAATTAAAATGTATTAAGCAAATATACCGTTAGGCTTTTATAACAATGCTTTAAAATTTTTTTCTCCCAGCTCTATCCTCTGGGCGACTACGTATGGAACTTGTTACGCGAAAAAGCCAAAAAAAATCTGGAAAAAAATTCACTTTTAAAAAAAAGAATAGTTTATTGGAAGTAAAAAAAAAAATAATATTTTGTGTTAATTATTTTCATAATAATAATTTCATAAAATTTATCATAAAAAAAGAAATCCTATCACTTAGAAGGTGGCATAGATATTTTTGTGCATAATTTATGCATCTTAATCGAAAACAATCAAAAAAGTAACTTAAACAAACATTTCGTTAAATTTTGTCGCACAGTGTAATGGAAACAAATTAATAATACTGTGGTAAAAGTTCTCCATTACCCAGTTAAAAGAGTAAATATAATTTTTTACTAATATATAAATTAAAACGGTAATTTCATTTTATTGACATTTGTTATTAACACTATTATTTACATTTAAATTATTCGTACATAAGTTGGCTCATTAAAGGAAGCATGGGCTTGCCTTTTACCTTCCACACCTTCTCATGCCGAACTACGGATTTTTTCTTGGTTTTTTTCCGTTGATCAAACTGAAAATTCGTTCATAATTCGCAGAAGAGTGCGGAAACACATTCACTTTTTCCACGATGTCTGCGATGAGTGGAAACTCCGATTCTCCATCCGCGGTCTGAGATTTCTTCACCAACTTCCAGAAGTCTTCGGTTTCCTTGTCCATATTTTTTCGAAAAATCCGTATATGATTGGTAAAAATCCGAAATATACTTGGATGACCTAAAAATTCCGCATAAAAAGCCGTATCATTTTTTTCGGCTCGAAAAAT